TATGCTGCACAGTCTTGTTTACTCACAGTGAGGTGGATTTCTACAGGGCTGTGGATTTCTAAGGGCTGTGGTGATAGGTACATCTGACTTGATGGATACAGGTTCCTTCATCTCCACAGGTTTCACATCTGTGGATTCAATAAACTTCCATCAGAATATATAGAAAATTGTATGTGAATTGAGTATGTACAGACTTTTTGAAATTTCCTCAATAATACAGTATGACAACCTCTTACATACAATTTACATTGCACTAGGCATTATAAGTAATCTAAAGAGGGGCTGGTGAGATGGCTCAGTGGTCTAAAGCACCTACTTAAAACAAACTTAGCAAAGCCCAGGGACCACGGTTCAATCCCCCAGCACCACATGCCAGCCAGCCCGCCCCCTGGTGGGCTGAACTGGCCACACACACACACAAATAAATAAATAAAATTTAAAAAAAAATAAGTAATCTAAAGATAAAGTACATGGGAAGCTGTGTGTAGGTTGTAAATAAATATCACTTCATTTTCTATCAAGGACTTGAACATCTGAGATGTTGACATCTGTGGGTGTCCTGGAGCCAATGCCCTATGCATTAAGGGCTGGCTGATAGAAGAGCAGGAAATTCAGAAAGGGTCATAGGTGACAGGTTAGGACTTTTACATTTGTGGGTGTGTTTGGGCAGGTATGCACATGCAAAGTGAATGCTGGCTACATTCTCCGCAGTAGAAAATAATTCATAAACCATGCATCCTTCCTTCCTTACACTTTAAAAATCCCACCTTAATTGTGTGTGCCTTATGATTACAGACTATTAGAGACTATTAGCAAATGAACTATGAGATTTCAATCGTGAAGTGCAAACTCTCTTGTGAAATGCAAACCTAGTTTCACATATTAATTGCTTCTAATTAAGGAGGAACATTTTAGCCAATTAGCTTTTGGAATTTAAATGTAATCAAGAGAATACAGAAATTTGCTAATTGCTTGCCCTACTGGCTATTTGCCTGTAACACCAACACCCACTGTGCGCTCATGGTGATACCCAGCTGCACAAATACCTACTGTGTGTGAATGGCAGCTGCAAAGATTGGAAACTCTTCTGCTATTATAGTTCTGTGAACAGCAAGTCACCCATTCCTTTGAAATTAATACCAAAAAATGAGGCAAAAGGATGAAAGTAACAGAGAATAAGATCATCATAATTCAGAGCCAGGTCTTAAATCCGACTCAAGGGTAATGGTAAGCAAGTTCTCTCTTTCCCAGGTTTCAAGATGGCAACAAGACTTGACACACAGATCCTCCCATGGCTCATGACAAACTTACCTGGTTCCCGATAGCCATCTGTGATACCAGAAAAAGTGAGGACTGTGTAAAAAAGCAAATGGATCCTCTGGTAGAAAAGCTGAACACACTATCATAGCTCAGGTATGAAGGGTGGCCAAAAGGATTTTATGAAGGTCTTTGTCCTTCTCTTGGGACTAACACACTCTCTTCACATCTCTTCCCTCATTCTGATAGTCCTTCTGGCTTTATTTTCCAGACATCTGACCTAGTCCTTTCTGAGGGCTAGTTGTTCTCGCTCTTAATCTGCAGGAGACAACCTCTTGTTCTCTGTTCCTGCCCCATCTTGCTTCTACTCTGGCTGCAAAAGAGGAACTCAACAGGAGTCGACCTACCACTGCTGCTGACTGAACTTTGTAATTACAAAGATGATGCTTTTGGCATCTTGACTTGGGCTGAATGTTGCACTCCTCGTTATTATAAAATAATCCTCTAGTCAGAACTTGTTCATCAACTCTTCCATCTACATGGTATTTCTTCCTTATAAAATAGACCATTATCTACCATTACCTTTTTCCACAAGAAAACTGTTGATTGTTGTGTATAAAAACCATGCTGTTGTCAAAGGTTATTTCTTGTGCTCGCTTTCTTACGAGAAACTTGACTTGGCTTCACACTCCAATACCCTCAGCCTCAAGTCCTTCAGGTAAGAATCAAAATAACGCTTTCTAGGAAAACAAAATGGAAGGGGGATGGGCAACCTGGCAGGGTTGCCTCATCTAGAAGACTGTTCCATACTGGGGTCTGACTTCGACATCTCTACAATACTGGTCCTTTCTATAGAACCTCAGATGCAAAGCTTGTTTTACTTTTCCCCAGGAAAGGGAACCCCAGAACTCATGAGGAAACTTATAATAAAAAATACCCTACCCTGTGGAAAGGTAGTCCAGGAAGTCCATACTGTCGCCATGCCAAGCCTACACTCGGCAAAGTTTTACTTTGTTCCTAAAAGACCAGAATGTCTCTTCTAGGTTATGATGGTTGTATTTCTTATTTTGTGGCAGGGAACTTATGTAAAAAATGGTGTCCAACACCCACTCTAGCATGACAATGTAAATGTCTTGTGCTCGAAGTATATTCTCATTATACATAGCCTTCATTAAAAATAATTAAAACATGGCAAATATTACTTTTAGATCATTTCACTTCTTTTGGGAGATCAGTAATCACCAAAAATGAAAATACCTGCCTTTACAACAAACAGCATGGGGGCTGCCTGAAAATGTCACAATTTTCCTTAAGTTGTGACAGCCTGTTGTGAAAAAAAACAACAAAGAAACAAAAAACCAACACCCCAACAGGGGTATTAAGGCCAACTGAATAAATATAGTGGGTTTTGTGACACAAATCTGATTAAAAATTCTCCCAGTCCAACAGGATTAAAAACTGTTAGCTCACTTAGCTGTATAATACCTATAAGAAAAACTAAATGGTAATGAATGGTCATTTTGAGGGTAGGAAGCATGTCTCAAAGAAACTCCCATTTTAAATTCCAATTCATTAATTAATTTTGATTGTACTCAGATTTGAATACACATTCCCTACAATGTGAACAAAGTTAAATGTACAAAATTCACCACTGTAGGCCTTAGGAGTATATTGCTGGCCACATCAAGAGGTTTGAAGACAAGGCTGTAAGACATAAAACTGTTCTAACAATTTTTTAAAAGGTATTAAGGATATTGTATTGATTTCTTGGCCAAGGTTTACTTTATTTCCTGAAATGCCTCCAAAGGGCATCAAGTATAAAAATTTCCCCTTAGCAACGCTGCTGTTTGGCACAGGGCCCTTGTCACCGTGGAGATAGACTCATGACTGAGAGACCCAGAGTGGCCAGCAGAATCCCAACTCCACATGGCGTACCCTGAATGAGGCCATTCCCCGCCTTTCGCCCTGTGGAACAGATCTCATCCAACTATTTCGATCAACTTTCAGATGTCTGGGGGACATTTAATTTATCATGACACAAGCTTCTGAGGTTGCAAAGGGGAGACTGTTGGGCAGGAGGAGCTTAAAAGGGATCTGACTTGGTATGGACCCCCCATCCTCTTGCTAGGTCACAGCCCACCTCAGCCTCCCAGCCTTGGCAGGGCACTAAAGGGAATTCCTCTCTCCGACTCCCTGCCACAAATGCAGAGTTCACAGGTCTCGACTCTTTCCCACAGAGGAACATGTGTTTCTATGGAAAGACCACACAGAAGAGTCAGGATCTCTGTTTCCAGAATCTGGCCTGCATTGGCAGTGCAGCCTGAGTCAAATTAGACAACCATGGCCACATTTGGCTGGAAGGAATTTAGAGACCGCTTCACTGGTACAGCAGAACCGCCAGGACTGCTCGTTAAAGCAGATTCCTGGGCCTCACTCCCAGAGACTCTGATTTAGGAGGTCTGGGCGGGAAGACTCTGGCTTTTCTAGCAAGCTTCCAAGGCATGCTGATTCACAGACCACACTGGAGTAGCGCTGGCCTCTGCTACATCGTCTTAAGATGGACTGGCAGGCTTCTGCTTACTAGTGAATTATTTCAGGGCCTGAAGGACAACCAGCCTGGGTTGCAATGACACAATTCTGCCATTATAATGTGAAAGCAGCCACAGACAATGGCAGGCAACTGGACGTGCTGGAAAGATCTGTACAAAACCAGGTAGCTCTGGTCGGCTGGCTCTTCCCTGGAGGACTCCCCACCTGCTTACAGTAATTTGGGGTCCTGGGCTCTTCCTCATTCATTTATAGCTTAAAATTTGAGAACATTGTTTTTCTCTATTCCTAGGCTGTACCATGTTGAACTGTAAGAACAAGATGAAAGGGGTACTTGAGGGACCCTCTTAGTATTTTTACCTAAAAGCACAGAACTGTCTGAATTAGTACAAAAGCCATTTAACAAGCTTCACAGGATGAAACTACAAAATATATACGATGGCCTGAAACACAGCTTTTATAAGGTTATTTTAAGAAATAAACATTCTGTAAACAAAGATGTACCCAAGAAGTTATATTATTTTTTATTCATGTTAGAATTTCTATCAGTGTTTGAACATTAATATTTAGAGAGTTTGTACATTTTCACCTTCCAAGGTATAAAATGAGAACCATACTAGGTCACAAATGGTAACTAATAACATTTCACAATCACATGAGTACCCACTTGCGCTCACTCTCTTAACACTGTTAGACATTTTATTTCCCTTGCTGTAATTTACAGTGAAAGTGTCCCCACTCATGTCTCAGCAAAGTTCCAGACATTATGGATTCATCACATATAAATTCTTTAAAAATATACTTCTGTCAAAAGACTTGATAACTACTATGTACACTACAAAAATAAATTTTCATATAAATAAATTATATGGCATACTTTTATCTTTGTAATTGAAATGACACAAACTTATCTCCACCCAAATCGGCAGACAAGACCCAGTTTGAATATTTCCTTTTAACTCCTTACACTAAAACCTACTATGAGTCCTTAATGTAAATGTTATATACTCTGAACTATTTAACATTAGTAAGCACTCTATACAAATAAAACTTCTGTTCAAAAGTAAAACATAGTTGTAATAGTGTTTCCAACAGAAATAAAATCCCTGCATTTTGTTATAAACTGGCATGACAAATACTGTAGGAAAACATTCTTATGATACAAAATTATAAATATCAGCAAAGATTTTTTTTAAAAAAATTAAAACATCCAAATGAACAAACAAGACAGACAAAATAAATCTACAAAGGAGAATGAGATAGAGAGAGGGCGAGGTGTTTATAGTTTTCTACCAGCCTGGGCCATCTGTTGGCCACTGTGACTCATGGAAAGTTGTATGCTGCGCAGAAACCAGGGGGACTCACAGGCTCAGCGTGGGACAGGAGGGGCACATTGGGAGCTGCAGGCCAAGCCGGCTTCAGAACTCTGCCATCTCTCCCTTCAACTCAGGATGCATTTTCTGAGCAGTGCCTGTATTATGCTGGTGGACAGTGTGGCTGACAGAAGGCACCAAGACAGTAGCAGCTGGGTGGCCAGAGTCCCAGCATATTAACACATACATACACCTGGCAGCCACAGGTAGCTTCCAACTAGTACTTTACAGTGATGGGCTGAGTTTTAGGGTCTGAGGTCACTAAACTGCTGGAACCGCTAGAGGCCAGTTGCCTTTCTCTAAAGATTTCCTTTGTAGCTGCCATGGAGAGCTCCTCACAGTGACCGAGGCTCCGGCCAGTATCGGGTCCTTTCCTCTGAGATAAGTCGGCGGCAATGCATGCGCTGATATCTGCCTAGAGGTCGGGGGCCCCAGACCACAGAGCAAGAGAACAGAATCCACACAGAAGAAAACTTTTCAAAACAATGCCTGGTAGAGAAATCTGCCTCTGTCTACATTCTTCCATGAGGTGTACACAGTGAGCAGCTTCCAGCTCTTCAATAAAACATCACGGTAAAAGAACCATGGAGGGGGAGAGAGACCAAATTTGATTTGTTCAAGAAGAATCCCCAGCAGCTCACAATCCACAGAACTTCTGACTGTGTAACACTGTCGGAAACTCACTATTCATGTTTTTAAGAAGATGTGAACAGATCCAGGCAGCTCCAACCAGCTGTTCCATTTAGGAAGAAAGGGAATTTATATTGGAGGGACTTAGAACAGCACGTCTGGGCTTACTGAGGGCCAAGAATAAACCCAATGAGTTTTTCTACCTATAGGAGAGTCATGGGGAACCGTGTGTGTTTGTGTGTGTGTGTGTGTGCGCGCGTGTGTGAACACTGGTCAAAAAAGGGCACAAAACTATACATTTTACACTGTTCTAGAGTATATCTCATGGGCCTTCAAGGACTTGCAGCTCAGCATGTTACCTGATTCACCAATGAGAGCTGTCAGCTCTGTACACTAAGGAGTCCAACACCATCGCAGTCATGCAAGGGAAGGAACTTGTTTTCTCAAGCACGAGGTGGGGTGTCCAGAAGGCAACCAATGACCTTCAGGGACACCACAGAGAGGAAAGCCAGTCTACTTGCTATTGAACCATTGCCAAAGAAAGGGTCAGGCTGTCTGGTTAGGGCTAGCCCTCTCCCAGTACAAAGCAATAAAGACATCCTGATTCTCCCAGCCCAATTGGGCCAGAGCCTAACAAGGTGAAAAACATCAAGAAAACCAAACAAGACAAAAAATAAGTCACAGTACAGTACATTGGGAAATCATACAGGAGTTCACACACAGCCAAACCGGAGGATCACATGCACTACCCCTAGAGAAGCCACTGGGTTTAACCTGCTTGCTTCATCTCTGCTCATTAAACAACAAAATTATCACGCATAGCGTGTTTGAAAGTTAACAGTAACATTTCATACTACCACAGGGTTGTGATATGCAAATTTAAAATATTTTAACAGGAACTTTACAAAATAATCCTATAACATAAGCAATATTTGCATAGAATTATACAGGTAAATTATACAATATTTAAGCAGCAGCAACTTATGCTGGAAATTTCAGACTAAGTTAAGCTTGGTTGTGGCACGGAGCCCAATCAATGTACATACAGATAGGGAGAGGCCCCCTTCCAGTTCCCCACTCTGGGGCTGGAGCAGGGGTGCTCCAGACCTTGCTACTTTACTTTACATCCTTCCCTCCTATATTACATATGTGTACAGGTCTTAAATATTTATAAAATATTTAACAAAATAATACAGTCGGTTACAGTAACAATGAACTGCTCTTCTGGGCAGCACATCTCCTCCGTAACTCCAAGCAGTTCTCTTCAAGCAGTCTGGAAAGAGGTGGGGGTGGGGTGGGGTAGGGGTTCCAATCTTTGGCCTCTTTGCTTCAGATTTTAATCACCCTTTAAAAGAAAACAAGAAGAGAAGTCACACTGAGTAGAAGCTACAGGAGTCCATACTTATGAAACCTAGCCCCTGAGAGCTATAGCGCTAGAAATCGAGGGATTAGGGGGGTTAGGGAAGAAGACGCAGGGCCCCCCCTAACTATGCATCTGTCCCATTCAGAAGGTACCCAGCTCAGATTGGCTGGAGAGTTTCTCCCTTTATACTGGGTTTAAAAGGGGGTGCTGGATACATCTATTCTGGTATTTTGGCCACCCAATCCCACCCTCTTAAATGGAACAGCAGCACCTGTGGACCTGCCATGATGCTGTGCTGAACACAGGCACAAAGTGATAGGTGACATGCATGGGACCTTTGTGAAGCCACATTAATCCTCATAGGTCTGTGGCATATTGGGGGAGAGACCCACTTTAGAACCAGACTGGTACCCCAACATGCAGCTTGTACACAATGGCCTTTAGTGGGGGAGTGTGGAGATCCCTGGGTCTAGCCTGGGTCGTACCACTGTCCTGGGCCCTTCCTTAATGACACAGCCTGGAGCCCTACCTTTGGCCCCTGTGCCCACGCACCTCAGCCAGAGCTGCCTCCCCAGGGTCTTTCCTCACAGTCCACGTCCTGCAGCTCTATGACTTCTACCTTCGAGTCCCTCCTCTCACACCGGACATGAAAAGGCACGTGGGGGTCCTCAAACAGCCCATGGTCAGTCTCAGGGTAGCCCTCATAGCCTGGGCAGGGCCCTACTCGAGGGTTCCGCCCAGGCCCAGGTGGAGGATGTACGGCCACAGTCACAGAAGCAGAAGCCGTCACCGTGGTGATGGGCTGGCAGTAGCTAGGCATGTTGCTGCCTGCAGCTGTGGGTGCTGGGTTCCGAGGTCGGGTCCCCCGGGGGCCAGTGCGGTCCCTGTTGCTGGGGCCAGAATGCCCTTCAGTAGAAATTTCAAAAGCGTCTCTGCGCGGTCTGTAGGGAGGTGGCCGCAAACCTTCTCTGGAAGGGTCCCTGTGGGGCTGTTGGCTTTGCCTTCCAGGTGGCAGGGATCCAGAGTCCAGGCGGGCATGCATTCGAGGGTTTGTGGGTGGGGGGCGCCTTGATTCAGGGTGGACCACCTGCAAACAGTAAGGGCAGGTTAACACAGGCAAGGTGTGATCTCCAGGCTGGGTATAATCCATTCTTTCATTTGTTAACTCTAACCAAGCGCCCAGTTAACCCCAGGGAACCAGGAGGCAAACAGGCCTTCAATCCACAAAACAAGACCAAAGCCTGTTCCTTTGAGGACCTGCAGAGTGTGTTAGAGTCCTTCCTATGTGGTTCCTACTCGCAGGCCTGCTGCAGCACAGCTGGCCTGGCGCATACCACTGTAGGACACTCCAGCTGCTTCTCTCCTTGGTCCCACCACCCTACCCCGTGCCCAGTATGGGCAGACCCTGAATTGCCCTGCTCTGCTTCTACGCTGAAGCAAAGCAGGAAGCTGGCAGGACTGTCTATGTGGCTATTTTAGATTAAATGAACTAAAACTCAGAATCCAGCTCCTTGGCCATACTAGCGACATCTCGAGTGCTACTCTGCACTTGTACCAGAGGGCAGAGGGAACATTTCTATCCTTCCGGAAAGGTCCGCCAGGCAGTGCTGCTGTTAAGATTGTTAGGAATCTGGTTTCTGAGTCTCTGTACAAAGCATGAAGCAACACAGTGGCCACATCAATCAAAAGGACCGTGACCAACTTCAAAGTCATTCAGCTTGTACCTATTTTTAGGCTCCCGCTGAACAAAACCAGATTCACAGTGCAGCTCAGCAGGCACCATTGCGGGGGGCACGAGGGGGACAATTTAGGTTATTTGGTTGGCCCCTCTCTCTTTCATGCAAGGGCTGCTGTGGCCCAGGACTGGAATACCCACTTCCTGGAGGGATGGCAGGGGGCCTTGGTGGAGCAACATGAGCCTCCGAACTAACCTCCCTTGGCTTTTCAGTACTGAGCTCCCAGCTGAGGGGCGAGGTGGGGGCTATCCTGGGGAGGCAGGATGGACGAAGTGGCCTGCCAGCTCCTCATGACCTCCTGGGGAATTACTGGAGATAAGAATGCAGGCAGGGGGAGTTCTCAGTGGCTCACAATTTCAGCCACCTGGATAGGCACTTACAACAACAAAACTTATAGAAAGGTCTACAGACAATAATGAAAATAACTTTGTTCTAAGGACAATCAATGATAAAGAGATTAAAAAAAATACTCTGGAATAAAATAAATGTCATTACAAGTAAGTGCTGTTCTAAAGTGACATGCAGCTTTAAAATGAAAAGCAAATAATGCTTTATTTTTGACTCTTAAGCTCAAAGTATACTTATTCTAAACAAAACACATGCCAATGCTTTTTATTTTCCGTGTGGTGTGGGGAACTGAACCCAGGGTCTGGTACAGACTAGCAACTACTAGGATGTTAGGCCTACGTGCTAACACATGGCACCTGCCCTGTTCTGATCCATCAGCTTGCACCGTAAGATAACCTGATAGCTTAAGAACCAAATACTGCCAATTGCATGCGATATGACCAGGCATATACTTTCTTTGGCCTTCTCTCAGTGATATAATTTGTTTTTTAGGGCAAGCAAAGGGTCCCTTGAGCTATCCCAGTTCACTACCATGCATGGTGGGGAGGACCCGCCACCTCTCCCAAGGGTAACTTACAGTGGAGCGGGCGAAGACAGGGTTTTCTGTGGCTTCCACGATCACATGGTGGGTAGGGGCCCCTGTGCCCTGCTGAGCCTCGTAGTGCCTTAGTTCCTCGCTGATGCCTGACACGGTCGTCTGAGAACTGTACTCCGAGTCAGAGGAATCAGATCCATTGTTCATCTGACTGGGAGGTACTGCAAACCGGACCACGCTTGGGGGCGGCTCAGGGGAAGGGGTGGGCAGCCGGTTCAGGCCATTTGCTGGAGACACCTAGGAAAGGGGATTCCATATTAAAATGTTGTTTATTTACCTATTCAAAATTCAAAACAGTTTTATTCCAGGGTCTCTGCTCCCTGTTCTGGAACCCCACAGGACCCTGAGAGGCCCCACAGCCTATAGAATAGGACTGCCCCCTGCTTTGTCACACTGGAAAAGCATGACATGCACTCTTCGTTCCTGTTAAGCCTAAATATTCATCTTGAGTGAGAAGCCTGTCTTTATAGAAATCTGTAAGACCCAGGATGATCATCAGCTTTATTAAAACAAAGCAAAGTCAGTCTGTCCTACATCCCCAAAGCTATGAAAAGGAAGAGAAAAAAGCCATCATCATTGGATACGTACTGAAAAATAAATAAGCTGCATATATGCATATGCATAACTAACTAAATGAAGAGTGGAACTAGGGGAAGGAGCACTCAGCTGGGCTCTGGGTAGAACATCACTCCCAGTATAATTACTGACCTCAGGATATGGTCCAAAGAAAGACAAAAGGACGGGCAGCAAAACCAGTCCATTGAGAACACCCAGGATGGTGAGTATCGCCAGGACAGCAAAGAAATACCTTTGAGATAAAAGGGAAACAAGAAACCTTCAGTGTGACCAAAGGAAATTATACTACCCTTCCAGTGCCCTGATATTACAACATTCAACACCAAAATTAACAAGCCCACCCCACTGGGAAGATGGTCATAAAACTACAGTTCCAACCCAGCAGCACAAGGTTAGCTTTTTATTTTTTTTACCGTATGACTTTGAGAACTACATTCCACAACCCAAAGTGTTAAAAAGAGTTCATGAAGGGAGGAAAAAAAAATTAAGTTTGTTAATTTGCTGAAATCTCATGGCACGTAGTGCTATTTATGAACGTGTTACACAAGCACAAAAATATGGAATGCGAACTGAATGGCTGAGCAAACTGAAAGTACAAATACAATGCTGAGGGGCCCTGCTCCTGAAAACCCAGCAGAAGCAAACAAATGAAGCGAAGGGTGTAGAATTTAAACAATTTGGCCCAGGAGGAAAAGCAGCCCACTTCTTGCAGGCAGCTAATCCACTGTGAAATGCTTCGGCCTCTTACGGCAGAATCTCTAATTAAGGCTCCAGTGTAGCAGGTAAGGCTTTCCCTGGATTTTCATTCATCACAACTTTCTGCCGAGAATTCTGTGAGTTCCAGTTTTACCAACTAGCTCTAACTGCAACCTTTTTAGAACACAGGAACCAGCTTTCTGCAGAGAAAATGCTGGCCATTCTGCAGAGGCTGCGGCATTGTGCCGGCCAAGGGCGCTCCACAATGGTGGGACTGCTCTGTAGGCCAATCTTTTGTTGAACAATTTAGCATCTCTGAATACTCTTGTTTTGCGTCAGTCAGTTCAAACATAAAGGCTGCAGCACCATGGCAGAAGAGAAGAGTGCACACGGAGTTCTGCTTTCCCACCATTGAGGGCTAAGGTCTGGGATCCTTCAGGAATACCAAGGTAAACCTGTCAGCCAGGGAAGCCCCCCAGCAACATACTACATGGCTGGAGGGCTGAGACTCCACGCAAGGATGCTTTCTGGAACTAATGATTTCTGGGCTTTGAAGGAAAGGGGCTAAGGTGGGGGAGAGGCTCAGGATGTTCTGGGAAGGGGGAGGACAAGACAGCAATCCCTTAATGGTCTGGTGGATCATAAAATGAAACAGGCACCCAACTTTGCCATGTCTATATATGTTTCAACATTAGAAGAGAGAGAATCCCTATAAAAATACAAATACCTTACAGCTATTGTAAACACTAGAAACTTCTGAGCTGCATTAGTGAAAAAACTAAGCAGCCCACGTCTTGCTCTAATGTAAACGGCTGGAAATTTCAGCCGAGGCATATATCAGGGGCAGGCATTAAGACATTTGCATCCCATCCATCTAATCGTAGCATAAACAGACCAATTAGATTTCTGACGGCTTTGTGTATACAATGTCTGCTCATTTATTCCATCTCAGTGAGGGCTCTATCAGGTTGACCCATTCTGGTTTGGAAAATGGGATGTCCTTCTAAGTGCTTGAGACAGGAACCCTAATCTCTGGGTGGGAACAAGCAATGGGTTAGACGAGAAAACAGGGCTTCTGCCTGTAGTGGGGTCCAGTACCAGCTGAGTCCTCTAATTTAGGCTGTTTCCTTCCTGTGGGGCTCACAGAGGATCCCTAGCTAGTGAGACTTTAGGCCACACAAAAGGGCAAAATGGAACTTAAGAGCTTTTCACTGCATCTGGGTTGGGCCAAAAAATAGTTACACACAAAGAGACCCTTAGACATTGAAATGTTACAGTATAGAGAGACAGTACTAATGTCTGAGTAAGTGTACTTAAGAAATGTAAAGTCAAACCTTTACCCAAGCCAACAACTATCTATTTGGTATTAGCAAACAAGAACTCACTACCTGGTTTTTGAACTTATGGAGAGTGTATTGAGAAGACTGGCTGGATATAAATGCAGATACTGCTCTTCCTGGACTCCCCATAGTCCCATGTACATTTAAAGAATCTCGGAAAATTTGGAAGCCTCAAAAGCTGGAGAAATGTTAGTCTGTGCTGCAATAGCTACACTAGCTCTCTACTGAACTCCAGCCCAAAGCCACTGAGTAAACTGTATGTAGCATTCATTCCCAGAAGGCTGGACATTCAGGATTCTTGATTGCCCAGTGCTACAGAATGATCAATACAGATTGTTTTTTCCTGTAATAAACCAACTTGGGCTGAAATATCTAGTTAAAACTCTTTTATCTGAACATGAGAACCTGCCCAACAATATACATACATTTGCATGGATACCATATGGAAGTTCTGATCAGATTATCTCTACTGAAGTGTTCCTAAACCAGTCATCTCTACCCTGGGTTCTGCCCTACTGTGTTCTAATTCTGCACTACCTTTTATTTAGTCAAGACTCTAGTCTGGCCTCTTTACAAGTGATTATGTTATATCCAGAAGTAGCTATCTCGTAAATGTAGCAACTGTATACAAAATGTGGTTTCTTTCTGTATAGGTCTCAAATTCATGTCAGAAGTGATACTTGCTCCTTTTGAGTTCATAAAATCATATTCTTACTTAAATAAATGAAAAATAGCCTAACCTGAGGTCCAAGAGAAGTACCCAAATGAGAGTTGGATTTGCAAAGTTTACTATGAAAGTCAAATAGTAACTGTGCCCTAAATATTACTGGGGACTCAAATACGAAATCTGATCACATAAAGTCCATATAAAACGGTCATGTTAAATATTTCTAAGTTTTAGGGGCTGGGGAGATGGCTCAGTGGAATAAGCGTTTCCCTGGCAAGCGCAAGGTCCTAAGTTCAATCCCCAGTTCCGCAAAAAAAATAAATAAATAAAAAAATAAAAAAAAATTCTAGGTTTTGAAGGTGATGAGGCAAGGGTCAGATCAAGAGTGCTATGGTCACCTCTTTGTAAGTATTCCTATCCTGGAATATAGAATACTGGGGTGACGCCTTAGCTTGAAGCCTCAGAGCTGCCTTTGTTTTCTACATAGTCACCACAATGGATCTAGACGAGAGTTCTCACCTCTTTTCCTCTTGGTATGAAAGATGGGTGACAAGAAAAAGATGTTGTCATCTACCACATACCAGAGGAAATAAGTTACAAAGATTTTGCTATGACTCATGGTTTTAAAAACAAGTTTTTCTCTCACTTTTTCTTACCTGACAATGAAATCAAACTCAGATCCTGCAAGCATCAGTACCCCAAGCAGAGTAGACACAGCGCCGTCCAGGACAGGTGCAAACATGTGTTCCAGGGCAAGCACCGCCCTGCGGTTCTTGTCACCGATGGCAGTTAGGAAGGCCTGTGCAAGGAGACAGGTTGTAGGGTCAGAATGTTTTACTACACACAGCGAATGGTGTTGGAAATGCTGCCAACTGCTAGTATCTGTTGCTCTGGAATGTCTTCCTCAGCTTCTACCATGTAACCCCTGGGATGTTTAGCTAGGGGAGCTCAACTAGCTCAATTCAGTCTTAAAAGTACCATGCTATTGTTGGGTCACAACTGGCACTGATATAAATCTTCAATAAATCTTAACCAAAATGTGCAGAAACATTTTTTTTGACTGTTCCCCTTTACCATCCCCCCACCACATGCAAACTATCTCATACCATTAACACAGATGATGGGTCTCTAGTTGTATAAGTGCTGGCATTCTGGTTTTTCCTCTAAAATGGGTTCTCTTCTTTCTAGAACTAGGGTAAACATAGTTCCTTTCTGTTCTTCAGAGGAAAGTAGGAAAATATTAAGCCATGTTACTCTGCTGTGCTATGCCTGGACTGAGATGCCCTAAGTTGTACCTACCCCCTTGTACCTAATGATCTAACACAGATGCTGCTGAAATTGCCAAGCAAAAGAAATCCTACTTCCTACGGACTCTGACAGGAGAAGCACCATCTTTAAGTTTTTCTTATCGTTTTCGAATATTCTAAGAGTAGTATAGCTGTCCATTTTAAACAATTTCATGGATAATATAAGAACACTATACTCTACATGAAGACAGTGCTCTTGGAAAAGCTTAAAACTAGAAGCAGCACAAGTTCAAGACTGTAGATTTTTTCCAGTGTAAAATAAATCTGTTCTAGGATAGCCCCCATTTGCAATGCTTGTTACCAAAAAAAGAAAAGGAAAAAACTAGTGGTGTTGAAGAGACTTCCATTCACATCGGAATGAAATGATTTGTGGATTCTTAATTCACATGCAAATTCTTCTCCTTTTTGAATAAATGGGATTAGGATTTTGTGCTTTCTGGGTGGTACTCTTCTTTTTAAAGAGAATGTTGTCTCTTTCCTCTCAGTACCATGGGAAAAAATTAATTTAGCTAATATCGTTTCTGTATTATCAACATTTTACTAATAACTTCAACTAAACATTTCTGCTGAAACACCCATTTATACTAAGTTACATAATACTGGCTCTGTAAGACGCAGAAGGTGGTGCTAGAAGCTTCTCTACAGGCAGCACATGCTGAGCTTGTGGCTGGATGATGGCAAAAGGAACACTAGCAGGAATCTGGTTCCAGTCCAATACTGGGTTTCCTAGGTAGGTCACTCCAGAAATCCCTATTTATTCAGTCAATACGCACTTAACGAGTGCCTACGATTACATAGTTCTCGGGCCACAGGCACACCTCCCAGGGGAACTCGATTAACACACTGCTGGGAGGCTTCTGAGTAATGCTCTGACAAATGCATTCAGTGGGCTTGTGTCAAGGGTGAGAGATTACTCTAGAAGTTTCATTTCTGCCAACAAATCATTACAGGGGAAGCCATGGAAAGGGGGAAACATCCCTATTGAAAGCAACATTAGTTGCTTTACATTCTGCTGTCATGAATCTAGAAGCCGGGAGGTCTAAGGGCTGGGTGGGCTGAGGTAGCAGAGCCAGCTCTTCAGGGGTAAGCACCTGAGCCTTCGCTCATGGCCAGAGGGGATTTCCTCACTTCACCACAATTATGCTCTTCTCAGCAGGCCTGTAAGTGTGGTCTTGTTTCATCCTTGCTTTATTACGGTCTTCAAAATGGTATGTATGCATGCCCACACACATACCCTGGGAACAAAGTTGATAACTGTAGGAGCCGGGATGATATGAATGACAGTTAACATCATCAATGAACAAAACCCTTCCTCACCTACACTGCCTAGGCTCGCAGCCTCAGCTTTCTTTCCTGCCTTTGACTTTGGGCTCCCTAGGAGAGAAAAGAATCCAGAAACACTGTAGTCCCTTCTAGGAAACTTGTGCACTCTGAGGCCTTGTCACTGGGGACCATAGAGAAAATGAATACTTTTCTGCTGGACACTAGAAGAGCTACAGAACATGTTGCCTTTTCATCAGATTTTTGCTTAAAACATCTCCCATACCAAAGCCACATGAACGGTGAATTCCACTCCAATGCCCACAGACGCGATCAAGATGACCACAGGCACAGCGCTCAGCTTGATCCCAATGAGGCCCATCATGCCAAAGAGCTCGACTGTCATCAAAGCCAGGACCATCACCTTGAAGAAGGCAGAGAATGATTAGTGAGTGGACACAGCACATGCTATGCGTACAGACAATGTGACAGTACTGGGGCCACATGGCAGATTTAGAGGAGTGAAAACATCTGAGGTCCAAGTAACATAGAAGTACTGTACTGACTTGTTTTAGCTTTGGACAACCAGCCTTATCTTCTATTTGAACTTCCTGCTTAGGAGAGTTTGAGGTATCATTTTATAATACTAATGGATGAATAAAGGCAGATTAGTGATCTTATGTAAATAGTTTCTCTGATAAACTTGCCAGAAGTAAAAAAAATTAACAAGCAAATAATTAGTCACAGACTAAGCATTTCTCTAGAAATTTTATACATGGTTGGCCCATTCTATCCACAAGTTCCATATCTGTGGATTTAATCAACTATGGATTGAAAATATTTGGGAGCCAAAAACTGCTTCTCAACTGAACAGACTTTTTTTTGGTCATTATTCCTTAAGCAATACAGAATAGCTATAATTTACATTGTATTAGGTAGGCACTATAGATAAAGAACATAGGCAGAAATGTGTAGTTACATGCAAAAACTAAGTCATTTTACACAAGCGACTTAGGCATCACGGAGTCCTACAGGAGTACTGAAACGAATATCCAGAGGGAAAAAAGGCAGTTTCAAACAGCCTTTCCTTTTTTGATCTGTTTTGATCTTAAATCATCAGTTCTTAATGTTTTAGTTCCAACTGTGTTGAAATCCTAAAGAAAGTGGATAGGACAGGACAGGTCAAAGTGCTTGTTCTGCTTTTGCTGTTGACCCACAGGCTAAGTGAAGAAGACTTGGGAGTGGCTGGGGTGTGGGGCTGTCATCAGCTGACACAGGTCAGGTTACCGGGACACTGTACTTTGAAGAGATGAGGCAGACAAAGCAGGCCCTGAAGTTCAAGGGACAGCTTCCAAGTGCCTTTCATCTTTCTTGTAAAAATTTGTGAAGAAATGGAAAAAAAAATATGTGAGGGAGAGTATATTCTGGAGTTTCTTAGGCCAAGCAGAATAAAACAGAAATAACACCCCCCCACACACACACACACTTTACACAGATGGAAGACAGAGGGAAAATGATCTTGTTTTTCCCCTCAGAGGGTGGTCAGGGAAAAATAATGAAAGATGGACAAGGTCCATGGCTTAAATACTGTGAAAAACTGCAGACTAAACATTTACTTTTTAACGTACCTGCTGCTGCCCAGAGTTATGGTGCAGAAACAAAACCTGGTCTCTGTTTTCATAATTTTGGCATTTTAAAAGGCTATACCACAGTTCATGGAATTTAAGCATTGCCATTTTATTAAACTCGACTGTGTAAAACTCACTTCAAATCGAAAGGCAGTGGAGTTAGTGGTATTAGTCAACACACACACCACCACCCTCTCGAGCCATTTCATACCATACAGTGCTACCCTTGCTCTTCTAGGGATCCCTCGGTGTTAAATGTAAAGAACCTTCTATGTGTTATTAGGTCTCGGATGAGGTCACTAAGTGGTATTTCTGAATTAGAAAAAATGATTTGGTCACACACTTTCACAAATGCTCAGAGCTACTACAGAAAATGTGCCCGAAAAGTCCCGTCTTGCACACACACTTTTAAAGCTACATTTGAGGGGCTGCAGGACTGCAGCTATTAGCGGCTCTACCTGCACCATGAACCTCACCAGCTCAAGCAGAATAAATATACTACGGGTGATGCAATCTATACCCTCCTCCAAAGGCCCCAGACATAAACAAAACTTCCCGGCTGCAGAAAGAGCTATGCTGAAAGGAATTTGCCTGCCACAAAGACCCCTAAAGAAACTCACAATGATCCCGGCTGTCCAGGGGTTCAGCAGGAAGAGGGCGCACACCAGGAACGTGCAGGCAAGTACCACGCTGATGGCCAGCAGCAGCCAGTGACGCAGGCTGATGTACTGTTCCCAGAACAGGAACGGGTAGCCATTGGGGTAGCTTGAAAGCCCAAGGCCTGTGTAGTTGTTGCAGATGGTTCGCACTTTTTCGATGGCTTCCACAAAGTCTGAGGTGTCTCGCAAGCCATTGAGGTAGAAATGGAACTGGGCATACTCGATGGGTTCTGCAGCTGGGACTGGGTGAAGAAGTCACCAAGTTAGGGCAAGGCCTAGGGAGTGAGGGAAGGAGGACAGTCTCACCCCAACCCCACAGGTGCCATGAGGAGAGAAAGGAGCTTTACGAAGAAGCCCCACCTACTACCCTTCTTTCCACACAAAGGAGACACAATAAATGGAGTCTTTACAATTTTCAGGAAAGCATCAATCTCCATTTCTTTGAGGGAGTGAGTGGGGACGGGGAAGGAGTTTGTGTTTGTGTATTTTTTTGAGGAAAAAAAAAAAAAGAAAAAACCCTTTGATTTTAATCTTTCAGAAGCTCTCATTCTTTGTGAAGGGCCTAAACTGTAAAGATTTAAATTTTGGGAATCCTTTTTGTTCCTGTGACACATGTGAAAATACTAAGTTCAAACTGGTTTCTTCAATTGCTTTTGGGAGCAAAATAATCCCAGTCATGCTTTGCAAGAAAAATGCTTTTACTGATCTAACCAACTTAAACCTTTGCTGCTTCTTTTCTAATGCAATGCTAAGTCTCAGCAACAGGGAAAGAAATCCTTATACAACAAGTGTTTAGTCACTGCCGTTGTGTGTTCCAGACCCTTTGGGGTCATTCAGTTGACTTGCTAAACATGATTTGCCCTATTATAATCTCAACTATAAATTTTCATTAAGACAAGCCTTGGCTGCTTGCCACCAGGCTCTGGGGTTTAGAGACAGAGAAGCACAACCGCCGGCTCCCCAGCCAGGTCTGCCAAGGGACCCGTCTTCTTTCTCACGTCCTCTCTTGGCCCGATATCCAAATACTAATATCTCTAACATAAATGCAAATTAAACCCTAACAGAACCACCTTTCAAACTTGGGGCTGCGAAGTGAAAGAGGAGGACACTGTTGTATACAGACTTTTCTGCTCTGGTTTAAACAGCTTTGACAAAGTACAGGTGCTTGGTGGCTTATAGGAATGACCCAACGTGCCAAAAATCCCTTCAGCACCAGAGTTGACAAAGTTAAGATAAACATATAATCCCCAACGATAAAACCTTGCAATTGTAAAATAACACTCAACCTGGAGGCGTCCCTGACTTTCACAGAGAACAGCTGGCATGAGGAACGTCTTAGAGTTAAAGCTACAAAAGGAGATTAGAGACTCTTATTTCTCAACATGATAGCATGTGGAGTTGTATTCCATTACACATCCTCATCTGTCTCCCAGGGTTTTAAACTAAAAGAAATATATTGTTCTATTTACACTTTTGAACCCTGGGTAGTGTCAACTGACTACATTGTGGCTAAACTCTGAGGAACAGGCTAAGGCGCCCCCCTGTAAGCTCCCAGTCCCTGTGGGTGGAGTACGACTTACTTCTCAGCCTGGTTTCTGGCATGTAGTCCGCTTTGTCATGAACCCACTCTGGCCGGTGGGGTCGGATGTTGGCCTGGGAGGCAGCATAAGCAACAGGGTCGTTGCTGACCCAGGCCGTCAGGTAGATGTAGAAAGCGCTGGGATTAATGATGCCATCTGCATCCACCAGACGCTGTTTAGTCAACTACAAAATGGGAAGAACAGAGGCCTTTCAGAATGAGGGACAGGGCAAACACACTCCCACTCTGCACCCACGTTTCCCACAAAGAAGATAATGCCCACAGCTTGAAAATGTCGCCAAGACCCCTCAGAACACATTTGATTTCTTCCAAAATGCACTTATTGGAGGATGCAATCTCTGGCGTGTTTATAACAAACACACGCTTCTCTGCAGATGGCCCAGGAACTGGCTGAGCCAATTAAGTCTGAATGCTAAAGGACCTTCTGTAGCCAAGGCGGGGAATGAACAATCTGGAGAAACATATTTATTGGAGGGGAAGGGGGAAAAACCTGGCAAGAGTCCCCATCCACGTCTGTGTGCAGTTAACCTCTGTTGTTAACACTGAAGGAAATGCCACCCAGTAAATGGAGGAGAGCTATAAAAATAAAACAACATCTGTATAAATTTTGCTAACACTAGCCTCCTATGACCTGTGTATTCTAAAAATGTCCTTTGCCAGAAAATGGAAGAGACTAATACCAAGAGCTGTGGCCTTTCTGGGTAATCTTATTTTTGAGAGGTGGGCAGACTCAGCAAGCCAAGTCCTTTTTTGTGGCCAAATTTGCTCCCTCTCCAGGAGATCTTGTGGGCTTTGCTTAGGTCAAAGACACTGAGACTGAGCGTACCGGTGAATGTGTATGTTAGATAGATTGAAATTTTTTTTCCTGTTTACTTTAGATTTGGGCCTTGTTCCAACACTTTTGGTCTTTTTTAACAAAATGAAAAACACCAGTGACAGCATCTCATAGAGAAAGAGTGAAGGAAGAAAAGAGTATGGAAGACAGGGAGAGAACCAGACTTCAGGGATCTGGATTCAATTAATCCACAGGATATGTAACAACTGTATGTCTTCAAATCGTCTCTGGAATTACACACTACAGCTCACAGCCTCCATGCATGCAGCCTGCTTTGCTCCCTCCCAGGCAGAGGAAATGATATGGGGGGCCTGGCCCAATCACATTTGTCCCCCAGTGCTCCTGGTCCCTGATGCCACTCCAGTTCCCTGGCCACACAGGCAGGCTCCTTGGCCCACACCCTTGTCAAATCTGACAGCCCCGTGCCCTGCTGCTATAAAGCACTGAGTTTCACATTCCATAATAACCCTGAACAATGTGCTTTGTAACTGCGCCACCTGAATGCCAGCAAGAAGGCAGGAGACAACAAACAGAGCTAAGAAGATCGTTAGCATGACCCTTTGTGCCTAAAGGTGAAGCTAGCTAGCAGCAAAGTACAAAGGGAAGCGGCTCTGGGGAAGCAAGGAGTCAGTCGCCCGGGACCCATTTGAAAGCTGAGCATCCAAATACCCTCCTACATATGCTCAGAACCAACAGCAGTATGCTTTTATCACGTAGAGAATTGAGGAGGATGGTGAGCTCATACGGTTCCAAGGGTCTGCACTTCAGGTCGTCCAACTCACGAAACAGTAATCTGTCTGTACTCAGTGTTCACCTCTCAGGCTATGGTAACCCAAAGAAATTAGGTGGCACAAATCTTCCCTTCATTCTAATTCCTCTCCTGCACCAGCCCTCCACCCCTTCAAATGACTTGCAACACAATAAATACAATACAGCCTAGACCACCGTGGTTTAGAATCTCCAAGGCTAACATGTCTTGGGGCTATCACATCTGAAGAGGCCTCCACTGTCTCCACTGACTGCTGCTGTGAGGCTTTGGCTGTCCTGGAGCTCAGGGTTAACACCTGGCTCCATTTGACAGAAGAGAAAAGTGAGGCTCCCTGGCTTTCCTGAGGTTACATTAACTAGCTGGTGGAAGGAAATAAATTAACATCAACTCAAAATTCTTCCTTCCAGCTCCTGGACAGCACGGGTGGGGATCATGCTGTCAATCCATCTTCCTGCCATATGGCAGCTTCCCCAAGCTCTGCCCAACTGTGCCCAGCAAGACTGCTCAGAAGTTTCTGAGCAGGGAGAATACCTGGCTGATGTCAATGGGCTTATCCCGGCTGCCGGTTTGCACCAGGAGTTTGTAGGCGAGGACCCCATCGTCTGATCCATTTTTGTAATTGTTTGGCATGATTTTTCCGGTTTCCCAGTCGCTGTCAAACGCATCCTGAAGTCCTAGAAGAGGCAAATGCATGGATTACATTATGACTCTTTACCACAAAGAAGTGATCTTAAGGGGGTGAACTGGGGACGAGGTATAACAGGGACTACGAGACTGTGTGAATGAATAGATTACTTATAAGCCTCGCTCAAAATGGAGGACAAAAAATAAATTTTACCTTAAAAAAAACCCACACTACAATTCCTTTTCTCCCTAACTATTCCACAAGAGAGCACAGTAAGACACACACCAGACTCAACTATTTCATGCTGCATGGAGATCTACGCCTTGAGTTTTTCAATATACAACCAAAAATTCCACTTACAGGGGCAAGGACACATCCGCGCTCCCAACTTCAAACAGCAACTCAGCTGCTCCTGAGCCCAGGGTGAGCGAACACAATTCTGTCAATTTGATCCATCTGTTCGACTTGTGGAGCTAATGCAAGCCGTGGGATATGCTGCCAGGTTGTGTAAAGATCACAGCCAACACCTATTGACTCCCGCCCGCTCCCTTCCTCCCTACCACCCTTCCCTCCATTTGGGGGTGCAGTACAGGAGGGAGGGACGCCGTGCACACACGGGGAAATACCTCACAGGGTAAATTTGGATCAGATTTGAGAACAGGAAGCCACAGACCAATACAAGAAGGCTCTGTGAGAACAGATGACAAACCGCAGCCTGGGGAGGGGAAGGAAAAAGCTCTCTGGGCTTGGGGGACGGGCAAGCCCACCCGCCCCACACAGCTGCTCTTGGCCTCCGTAATCAAAACCATCATTACAGACCTGACGGTTTGGCTGCAGCTGTAAAGAGATAAGCGTGTTGGAAGAGAAAACAGGGCCCTAGTGACCCAGCCTTAGGGTCTGAGTGCTGGCTGGCGGCACACTCTCCCTGACAGCCCTAGCCTGGCCCTCCCCAGTCACCTCCCAAGTAGAACTCTCAAAACCAGCAGCCAGGAAGCCACTGCTTCTGAACAAGCTGTGTGTGTGTGTGTGTGTGTGTGTGTGTGTGTGTGTGTGTGTGTGTGTTGGGGGGACTGGCAAGAAGGGAATAAAAGGGTTCGTTGCATTTCAGGGCATGCCCTGGGTGACTTCCAAAAAGACAAATCTAGTGTAACTGCTCTGAATGGTTAGGCTGTTAGAAATCTAAAGGTGGGAAGACTCCTTTTCCTTTATTTCTCTTGAAAGAGAAAAGAAACTCTCCTCTCAACCTTGCCATGGGCATTGGCTTTCTATGAACAATTCTGGGGTGAGGATGGTGGGATTCATGGTGGAATGAGGCCCCTGTAGCAGGGTGGGCATGGCAGAGGCCAGCAGGGGGGACCACCAGGATGGCAGCACTCCCGATCCTCAGCCTGTTTTTCATAGTAAGGCATGGATAGGGCAGTGCAGAACAGATGTTATTTTATGACTTAAAGCTTTTTTCTTTTTTTTTTTTTTGGGGGGGGGTCTTCAGTTTTAACCACAAAAAATAATAATAAAATAAACAGGACAGGAAAAAAACCAACTGTTCTACTCCTTTCCCTTTACCCTAGAAGAGAGGCCCGGTCTGTTTCTAAGCCATAGAATTTTCATCACTTCAGATGTGTATATTGCTGAAGGTACCATCTTGACCTGGAACAACCCATGCTTGCTAGGCCTTGTGTGCAGCCCTGTTATTATCACCTTCACTATGCACATGGAGACACGGAGGCTTGCTAAGGTGCAGATTTAAACAAGGTGGTTAAGTGTTGGAGCAAAGCTCTAAACCCAGAGAGCCCAACGTCACTGTTGGCTTCAAACACTCATTGCTGGAAACTTCCTTGAACATGCTGTGGTGTCCAGACATCTTCACGTGAACTAAAATTAGCAGAAGTAACTCTGGTACCGTCCACATCTTGTGGCAAATGGGGCCCCCAAATCAGAGCACATGTTTTAGATATTTCTATATGCCATGACTTTTGAGATGATGAAACCATGGAAGGAAAAGAAAGCTTCAGAAAGTCACCGTGCTGGTCCCTGAGGAGCTATTCAGGCTAACTGGGGTCCAGAGATATAAGACACGGTCAATGACTTTATGGACAGTTAAGTCCTTCCGTAATTTAATACTTTCTGGCCAATTACAGGAAAGCTCATCACAGCTTAGGCACATGTACAATATATGACTCTAGATATAAAGAAAGGGACAAGATATACTTCCATAGCCCCATGCCCAGCATTTTATATTTTAATAAATCCACACTGTAGCAAAGCACTGTGGGGCAAGGGATATATATGTCGGTAGCACAGCACCTGCTGGTCAAGCACAAGGCCCTGAGAGTTTGATTCCTAGCAGCAAAAAAACAAACAACAACAACAAAAAGAGCATTGCGAATGATATTTTTTAGCAAACCCTCAAAAATTTAGTTAGAACTTCTCCCATTAGGAACATTTAAGCTAAAAATTATTTTTGAACATATAAAATTTTGGGCTAAAGAAGTTAGTCAAGTATATTATTAGACCTTAAAAAGGTTACCTTAAATTTCATTAATATAATTCAAAATTAAGTAAAAAACACCATTCATACATGATGTACTTTTTCTCTAACTTTACCATATATATATATATATGTTCAAGAATGACATGAGCTAACTTCTATATTAACCACTAGGTATTTTTGCAGTGAAATCAAAGAACTACTGAAATATTAACAAAAACAGGAAGAAAATAACTAATGGAAATTTCATAAGAAAAATAATCAAAAATTCCATGTTTAAAATACCAGATAGAAATACTTGGAAGGAAAAGTGACTCAAGGATAATTTAATTGCTTCCTAGAATGAAATGTTCAGGGACCAAATCAACCATTCAATAGTTTAGAAAATGTCTGAACACATAAAGGCCCTGATACCTGGTCATTCTGTGCATAGTATCCTCTGGACCTTGTAAGGGTCAGAGTTCTGGGGCTGACTGGGACCCTGACTTGGTCTAGCTGGATGCTATTCATTTAGCAATCAAACATGATTCAAACACACCTTTAACAAAAAAACGTTCTCAACTCTGAAATGCTCCGGATCTTAAAGGGATAAATATAGAGATCACCTACAATATCTGCTAAGGTTAACTCTGCGCTACTTACAGACAATAATACACTTTGCCCTATTCGAAACTTCAGCCTAACACACCAGAGAAGCATATAAAAGGCAAAGCCAGAGACACTGGAACACATGCCACAATAGCCCTCTGCTCATAGGCTGGCGAAGCACAGCAGATCTCTTTGTTATTCCTGGCCAATTATTTGCATGTCTTTGGTCAATGGGGGAAAAAAATGAAAAGCAGGGAATTTCTCTACCAGTTCTCTTTTGACTCCTTATGCAAAAAATACTGCCTTCAGAATCAAGTGTCAAAAAATGAGACTTAGAATAAATTTAAGCTAATCTTATGAACAGGATAAAAAATAACAATGTCCTATTACTATCTTTATCCTCCTCCAAAATAAAAATCTGGTGTACATCTATGAACGAAACCCTATTAACACAGGTCAAAGCCAGAAACAGTACTGAAGCAATTTCAATCAAATTCAAGTTGTTTTGTACAAACTCAACGGGAAATTGGCTGCCTAATCTTTACATACAACTGTACTGACTTAAGAGAAAAAAAAAAAGCACTTAAATCAGTGTTTAAACAAGCCTAATTAAGTGGGAAATTAAGACAATCATTTGGATAATCTAAGCCAAAAAATGTTGAGGCCATAATTATTTGGGTATTCCAGTAAACGCATTTTTGCTTGAGTTGTGTGGATAATTATCCTGATTCCCTATTTCTTTCTGCATGTGTCAACACAGACTAAATGAACAGATGTTCTTAGAGTCACTGAATACATTTATATTCAGTCAGCAGTTGAGAGCGAATTTAGACAATTTTTTCCCCTCCAGTTAGCTAGTATTTTCTAAAAATCCTTCTAAGAATGAGAAGCCATGAAAGGCATTTAAAGCAGATTTTGATCACTTATGAAATAGCGTGCAATCTGATTAAGCTTTTGTAAGTTTTACTTCATTCACAAAATCATATGGTCACAATGAACCCTAATCTAAAGTAGGGATTTCAGGTGTTAGTACAGGTTCATGAACTCAAGCAAATCTACCACTCTGGTGAGCATGCTCACAGGGCAAAAAAAGCACATGAGAAATCTCTGTACTTCGCACTTAGGCTGAGAAGCTGAAGCTGGGCTAAAAGTCAGTTAAAAAGTAAATAAACAGATTTTTATTTTAAAAAAAATACACACACACACACACACACACACACAAAGATGTAGTAAAAACGTCTGTAGTGGGGCCAGGGAGATGGCTCAGTGGAATAAGCACTTTCCTGGCAAGCGCAAGGGCCTGAGTTCAATCCCTGGTTCCACAAAAAAAAAAAAAAAAAGATGTAGTAAAAAAAAACAATGGTCCATATAATTCAAAATCTCCTGGTGCTTAGCAGCGTTCACAGTTTAGGAGCATGTCAGCCTAGAGATCCCATCAATACTTCAGTGTTACTTGGTCACCAGAGGAGTCACCCTCCAAAAGGAAAGAGCAATAAAGAAACCAGGATCTGTGCTTTATATATAATATGCTTTCCCTTTTCCCAATGTATACTCATAAATTCTCACGGAAGTCTTTGAGCCAGTCACTTGGAGCATGGTTTTACAAGTAAAAACCAGATATAGGAGGTGGCTGCAGAAATAGCCTATATAAAAATGTTAATCCTTAGGACTCTATGAACTACCCCATAAAAAAGGGTAATATGCCACAAACCAAGGGTGACATTTACAAAGGATGATAGAGCCATAGCAGTGTCCTACCTTGCAGCCAGTCTCGAAAGTAGTGTAGCCACATTTTGGGAAGCTGCTTGTTTTCTTCCAACATGACATATTTCACATTACTGAAACTCTTGTGAAGGTCATAAAGTAAGTGCTGGATATTCGGGTAGTCTGCTTTCTGGGTGACTATGTACATGTTGTAGAAAGAAAAGTACTTGAATTGTGCAGCAATAAAGTCATATTCTCTTGTTTCCCGTGGGACGATGTCTGTGAGGTCCAGCCCGTCTCTCACTCGGGTGGTCCCATAAAGGCTGACCCCCAGCAAGCTCAGGAAAAGGAAGATCACCACAACCTGCAGAGGGCAAGAGGAATGAGATCAGACACAAAGGGTCACCAGGACTCTTTCATGACCAACACCAGATGCCCAAGATTTAGTTCGTGGGTGCCATTTTTCCAGGAGGAGAAACACAAAACCATAGTAATCTCATTTTTAAATTAACTCCATGAAAAATGAGAACATTTACAATGGGAGAAGTTGGTCTAAACTTATGGAAAGACTCACAAAGAGAGTCACTCTGGTAGAAGATGAGTTCATTTAAATGAATCCTTAGCTTTGCATGGATTCATCTCTGGATGCCTGAACTATAGCATGTTTTCATGACTTCTTTTTTCATACCAAAAGTGGAATGTGATGAATCCTGCAGAAGCTGGCCCTGTCGTGTCTTGAAGGCACTGGAATAGTTCTACGTTGTGGTGGATTACCTTGGCTTTGGGTTTGAGGAGGAAGGGGGCATAGTGCTTCTCAGCAAAGGATGAGAGTGTCCACTTGGTGCAGGGAGGCTCAAGACAGTGGAGGCTGGAGTCGGAGAACTGGGAGAGCAGGTCCCTGGTGGAGCTGGTGCTCTCGGGGCTCTGGCAGCTGAGGGTGTCCTGGGTGACAGTAACAGGCTGCACGGAGATCTCGGAGCGTGGCTCGGCAGTGGTGTAGTACACGTGCGTGTGGGGGTCGTACTCAGTGCGAAGCTGGACCGTGGACTGCATGGTGATGTGTGTTTCATGGGCGAAGCTGTGGCTGCTGTATGGGGGTGGGGGACTGTAGCGCGTGGCACTGTGTGCCTCTGTGTAGGCCTGAGGTTCAACCTGGATCACTCTGCTGACGCAGGGGCTGGAAGGAGAAAAACACACTGCAGGCTGTGCCACCACAGGGGAATGGCTTTCATTTAGCTGTGTAAATGTCACCTGACTGATCCTGACACTGACCTGACAGGGTCCAACATTCACCCTAAATCTGGCTTTCGTGATGACAAACCCCTTTCAAAGATTAATTCAAAAAAAGTAATATAAAACAATCCCAGAAAAACCTATCGCCCTATGCTTTTCCTAGATGGGTGCTTTCCAACTTTGTTCTTCTCTAATACAGAGAGCTCTGAAAACTCACACCAAATGGTAGCTCATGATGGAAATGCTCATGGCTATCAGAACCTCAAGGGTTGAGAATGTTCTGGGTGGGCAGCATCCTCTTTCCACATCTCTCCTACCTCTGTCCATTCTGTGCAAGCCTTGTTACTGACAGCACATTTACTTCTAAGTCCTCAGATGGGAAGAGGTCTCTCAGAAGGACCACTACTAAGTCACAGCCACCTGAGAATGTATGTACCTTGTGAAACAGCAGAAAATGTCCAATCTCCTGTCTTCACGTCGATATAAATCCATGCTGAGAATTGCAGGAAAAATGAGCAGCACCATGGCAAAATTGAAGACCACCACAACTGCAGCCTGAGGCCAGGGAAAAGAATTCACAGCCTTTTAAAACCACTTTTGAAAATGAAGATGCTTCTGTTTAGTATATTTCTCTATCATCCTAAAGCATTTGAATTGGAAGACTTTATTTTTCTCATCATTTTGCTTCTCTTCCATCAAGAAATTATTCGACTGTAAAATAGGTCCCTGGTCCCTATGATTAAGATCCTTTCCATCTTTAATAATTTCAGGTATTCAGAAAGTATAAACACAGGAACTTTACTACCAGTGTCTTGCTAATCTAACCTAACCAAATCTATAAAGGCAGAAAAATGTACTTGAGATGTTTTATTTCAAAACAAAAAGAAACATGTCTCTTCTAGAACATTTGTAAAAGGTTCACACAGCCCTGATTTCACACTGGAAAATTTGTATATAAAGTGGATCGAGTATATCAAAATGTCACCTTTAAAGCATGAAATAAAATTTCACACATGTCCCCTGAGGTTTTTAACAGGCACATTCCAAATAAGCCTCAGGAGTAGCCTGTGGGGTATGTGAGCCAGTTACAGCAAAGGTCAAGGAGAGTTAAGCAGAGAAATTCCTGTGTGTCATTATACTGTGCAGAATAAATAAGTACAGATTCAAAAGTCACTCCATAACTTAGAGTAAACATGGGGCTAGATTCTGCAGTGCTTTGGCAAATCTCCTGCTGACCTAGTAAAAATTACAAAATTGGGCTGTTAACAGAGGAAGTCAACAGAGAGCTGAAAGGGCTGCCCTGCTCAGAAAGGCAGAAGAGGCAGAATAGAAAAATGGAACTGGAATGCTAAGTAGCCAAGAAATAATCAGAAATTAACTGGCAGGAGGTTTTCCAAAGAATTGCTTCTGAGACCTTCTGTAGCGGGTAAGCAGCTCAGGCTTGATGGAAGAGAGTCTGGCTCTCACCAATATCTAACAAAAATCAAGGGGCAACTTCACAGAAGCCTTTTGAAATGAATGGCAAATTTATTCTTCAGGTGAAACAGCAAGCCCTGAGTTCTGGAAAGATGATTTTCAATAATGAAATCTCCGTCCAGTCTACAAAGCCAATAAAATAACGCAGTCTCCACTTAAAAAATAAAAGGTTATCTTGAAAATCCCTCAATTCCATAATACAGAGTATGTTAAATTACCCCTCTAGTGCATTCAAGGAAGGCACTTTAAAGACCTGTCTAATAGGCCTGTGGGAATAAGCACGTCAGAAGCTAAGGGGGAGACACTTTTTCTGAAGTCTAGTACTGTGTTGAGTGAAAAGATAAACAGGATAAATTCCAGCTCTCAAAGATGGACACAGTTGGAGCTATAAATTACAACTGAGGCTGATAAAAAGCAGGAAAAAAAGCAGGTACTGCTTGCCCACCAGAGGAGGACAGAGGAGAGGAAGGGTTCCATAGGAGACAGTTTTGCTGGGTTTAGGAGAGGACAAAAGTGTAAGACTAAGAACAGGGGAAGGACAGCCGCTGCACGTGGAGGAACTCAGCCAGGCTGGCGAGGAGAGGTACCCTGTTCAGTGAGAAGCACTGATGGAGCCCAGGTAGCTACAACATGATTCAATCACCATGGTGGCATTCTTGCAGCACCAGAACTAAGTGGGAGCTTAGCGCTGCCTGCCTGCTACTCAGTAAACCAGATTCAAACCCCAGCCCAACTGAGAGGTAGGAGTTCTCTTGAGATCTGCTCACTTCCTGACGATGCATTTGGATTATGCCCAAGGAGAACAGGTTGCACTCAGGGTGGGGGTTTTTTTCGTGAAAACTGTCATCTGGAGGCTGAACATGTTCAGCTTTTGAAATTATAGCCATTCTTAGAATTTAAAAGTAGAGCTGGAGAGTCTTCCTTCTGGGCATTAGTTCATATAAACAAGGGAGACTGAAAAATGTGAAGCCACACGAGCACGTATGCATAGCCTAGGTGTTGCCCACGGCTCAACACTGAGGTTCCCTACAAGGACTGTGGGTGACACCAGACCCCACCAGAGAAGCCTTCAGGCATCTTGTTCCGTTCTGAGATGGAAATGGAGGGCCAAGAAAAGAAGCCCAACGTAACGCTAACCCAAACAGTCACTTTCCTAATGACATATAAATGGGGGGCCATTTCTGAAATGTTTCCAGTGTATGCAAAAATACTACAAGTGGGGACTCTCCTTAAGAAAGAGGGAAGGGTCAATGTAGAGGTAAGACAGAGTTTAAGAAAACGGAGTTTAAGTAAACCAGAAAACATAATGGGAATGTATTTGCATTGTGAATCAATTCTTTTTTTTTTTAATTATTTATTTATTTTTATTTATTACATTTATTTATTGTGTGTGTGTGGCCAGCTCAGCCCACCAGGGGGCGGGGCCGGCTGGCATGTGGCGCTGGGGGATCGAACCGTGGTCCCTGTGCTTTGCCAAGCTTGTTTCAAGTAGGTGCTTTAGACCACTGAGCCATCTCTCCAGCCCCAGTGCATTTCAAAATAAGGCACAAAACTGTATATACACTATACTTACCTGCAAGAAAAAAAGACTGGATGGAAAT